AAAGGAAACATTGGGTGTGTAACATTGTTCGATTGAATCATTTAAATAGTGCGACACACTATAAGCGCTGCTGTTTACCAGCAGCAGGAGGCAGTGTTTTGAAATGAAAGGCTGATACAAGTGTGAAAGCTCTGCTCACTTTCCGGTCAGCTGCTCGTTAACTTTGCGGAAACGTTAAACTAAATTAATTTAAATTAGTTTTATTAATATACATCTTCTAATGAGACAACAGCATCACCTGGAGGACGTTTTGTCTTTTTAAAAAATATTTTGAAATAATCATCCACAGCGCACCAGTTCATGAAGAGTCACTGAAACCAAACCTAAGGAGTTAGCATCGATTTTAACCCCTTATCCGGGAGAACACAAATAATACTCTTATCGATTTATAAAAAGTATCGCCACAAATCTAGATGAAACTCGTGACTATTTGATACTAAGAGATTCCATCAGCTTTCCTAAATGGTATCTGACCAGATGGAGGCGACCAGTTCATCTGTTTTAGTTGAGCTTTAAACAAAAATACCAACGGAGCCCGAGATAAGAACGGAGAGCGTCAGAGAGATAACCTGGGGATAATCTATAGATTTATCATCTCCATTCCTCAATACCCTCTCTGGATACCTGTAATTGAAAGTGGAGCAAATTTCGGGTCCTAGATTAGCAATCTTAAATGTCCAGTCGAGGCCTGCGTGCTCCAGCTGAGGCAATCACCCAAACTCTAATATTCTATTTCCTCAAAGTAATCACAGAGGAAGTTCGGGGCTATCGTACTCATTCCAGCCCATCTGTGTCCACAGTTAAATCAATATTCACAGACGGGGCCTAATATTTGGTATGGGATATGCCTTTTTTCAAGTTTTTTTCTTTTTTAAGTACGATCTCACAAGAAAATGATGGCGGAGAAGGACTTTTGAGGATGGAGGGGAAAGACATTTGAACCTCAAAGGCAGAGTCTGCCACTGTGAGGCGAGACTTAATTACAATGACCTTACAATAGGGCAGTCGCCCAGAGCCTCGCATTCAGGCAAACCACGCACACCCACCGGTGCACAATAGACCCCCCGCCACCACCAGGCCTGATAAATGACTTCTCTTCCTTGATTGCTGCATCAGGGCCAGAAGCAGAGATCGGTAATGAAGAAGTAACGGCGGGAAAGATGGGAAGGTGGAAAGAAGTTTACAACGGAGGAAGACTGGGATAGAACTGACTCAGAGGCACCAGCGGGGGGAAACAGCGCCTCATAGTGAAGCTTTTTTGTAATATTTGACTCTATTAACAGATGCTGGAACTGTTTATGTTGGAGTGCGTATTTATTTTTCTTTTTATTGGTCTGTGTTTAACAAAATCGTAGACCACACCATGTTAGAACCAGGTCCAGTTTCTTGACTCTCCTGCGTCAGCTCTCTCAGCTCATGTACAGTTGAACCACAGTTTGTTGTCCGTCACTGTTCGACTGTTGCCATGGATACGTTAACACAGTGTTTCCCAAATTTTTTTTTTCTGGGGACCCGTATTTTGAAAGTCACAAACGTTCGCGGCCCAAGTCAATAGACATTATTCGTAAACTCCTGGTAAACATGAATCTCTCGACCCAGACTTTGGGAAACATCCAGCTGTTCTCAACACCTACATTTTTTACCAGATAGCATGTTAGCATGCTAATCTAAGATCCCGTAAATCATCGAGGTACCGTATAGTTTGGATAAATGTGGCATAATATGTTTAAATTGATGAGTCATTGTTTCAGTGACATGTTGTTGGCGGTGATAATTGTTGTCTCGTTTTTGATGAGAAGATTTCTCAAGTTTGACTCGCGTGCGCTGTCCGTCTGGGCTGGTGCTGATCTAAAGTCATACAAATGGGCTCCACATTCAGAACAGACTCATAGATGAACGATGAAGGACGATGAAGAGTGCACCGCGTGTTGATTCTCAGCCAAGGGAACAGAGACCCCTGGATGTCACCTCTTAGAATTGTCTGCATTAAGAAATTTAGATTTTTTTTTTTCCGATTTATTTCTACATATACAACAGTTCAGTTCTTTAGTGAAAGACTTAAGTTTGGCTTTTAAAAGTTTATCCCTCTATACCTGGAATAGACACAACTCCAGACAATCTCAACTTCTTTGGTCTTTTTCTTAACTGTATTGTCCAGAAACTCTGTCACAACGTCGGCAATTTGCATTCCAGCCTCTCTTCATCACCCTCTAATTCCGAGAGTCAGCGGCTGCCGTGAGTTGAAGTTGGTTTTTTCCATTAAGTGTTTGTAGGTAGCGCCTCAGGCCCTGTCTCTGACAGATAAGAGCCAGTAATCCTGGTGTGTATGTTATTGTGTTTTCTAGAGACTTTTCTGGATTTTCAAAAAAAACGTTTAGCCTATAACCACCATGTATTAAAAAAAAAAAAAAAAACGTTTAGCCTATAACCACCCTGTATGTTCCCAGCTGAAAAATCGAAAGTGACTAACTTCCTGTTCCCACTGATTCATTTATTTATCTTTTTGAATTTTTTTTTTTTTTTTTACACCAGATCTCCTCTTGGTGGAGCTGATTTAACGTCAGATTTGTGATGACAAAACAATTCAGAATTAAACACAGGCACTTAATCTCATCAACCCTTCACTTCTGTGGAAGGACGGAAACATCCAATAATATTTCTTTTTTTCACTTCAAAGTATCCCTTCATTTTCCCACAAAAACTCTCCCGGTGTTTGACAGCATGCCAGTCCTAACAAAAAAAAGAAGGGGGGGGGGGGGGGGGGGGGGGGGGTAAGGCGGGTGAGTTCTCTTTAATAGATCTATATTCATTTTCAAATGAGTTGATTAGCCAGCACAATGTCATTGGATTCAGGGGCCCATTACACATTTATGATGCTAAATTACAGAACATTTACAATCCAAATGAAATTTCATGAGGAGGGGGATATTGAAAAAAAATGCAGTGAGAGAGAGAGAGAGAGAGAGAGAGGGAGAGTCAGGGAGAGAGAGAGAGAGAGGGTGAGAGATCCCTTGCCTCATTGCATTTCTCCGCCTCTCTTTCTCTCTCTCTTTACTCCCCTCTCCCCTCTGTTTTGTTTCTTTTTTTTTTCTTCCCCTCCCTCTCTGTCCTCTTGTCTGTCTCTTCCTCACATATCACAGCAGTGCCCCCTGTGGTCCAAGTCGGCATCACATCACATCACATCACACAGCACCGGGCAGCTGTCTCTCCCTCTCAACAGCTCTGTCGCAGACATTTTTAAGACACTGTCTCATTTTCCCGCCGCCGTTCAAACGTCACGGGTCGGTCCACAGGTGAGCAGCAGGTAAACAGAGCAGAGGCCGGAGTTTTTTTTTTCCTCTTTAAAAAAAAATGGTGTGATACAGACAGAGCGTGGCGGGGAGCATGAGCGTCTGGAGCCGAGAAGCCTCCTGGTCCCGAATAACCCCCCGCCCGCCCCCCCGCTCGCCCGTCCCCCTGTCTTTGGTGTAGTGTTACATGTAGGTTCAAACGTCCTATAGATCCCTGAGCAAACATCTCTCCTTTCCAATCAGCGGCTTGCACTGTGCAGCCCTTTCATTGTGTCCACATCAATATTTTATATCGGCAAATTTGCGGTGACACGCATTAGTACAATTAGGGGGAAAGTTTTTTACTTGGATTCCCATCTTCTGCAAGGAGAGTGAAAGAGAGAGTGAGGGAGAGAGAGAGAGAGGGGCTACCGAACTCCCCCCTCTCTCCCTTGCTTCCTAGCTCTCTCTGCCTCTCACTCTCCAGCATGGCTGCATCGTTCCTCAGCCCTCCACCTCTAAATAATTCATCATCCAATCAATCATTTTCTCTTTGTTTTGGGCCCCAGTGCCTGAGATGAAACGGGCCGCTGCCAAAGCTGCTTTGCCTCATCTGAAGCCTGGAAAACATGATCTGCTGCTGAGATTACAACACACACACACACACACACACACACAGAGTGAAGTGCACCTAGCATTGTAGCGGTGCTGCTACCACATATTCACCACCGCTGATACAAATATCATGAGCGTAAATACACAAACGATGACGGTGAAAGTTAGTTAATGATGCTTGAAATTTAAGGCCTTGAAAATAACGATCATTGACTTTAATATATATATATGTATGTGTATATATGTATTTATATGTGTGTGTATATATATATTTGTGTATATATGTGTATGTGTGGATATATATACAGTATATACACATATGCATATCTGTACATATACAATTATGTGTATGTATATATGTATATATTGGATAAATATATGGATATTATATGAATGAATTTATATGAGAGTATATATACATATATTTATACAGTATTTACGTATATTTATATATACATATATAATACCTGAGAATAACTTCTGATAAATGTTCTTAAATATATATATACATTTATTGTATATATGTATGTGTTTGTATATATATTTATATATTTGTATATACACAGTATATACACATGCATACAAGTATATGTGTATGTATAAATGGATATATTTGTATTTATATGAGAGTACATATACATATATTTACACAGTATATACGTATACTTGTATCTACATATATAATATCCTTAGATAACTTCTCATAAATATTGTTAAATATATATGAATATATGTTGGGTTACACATGCTGTCCTTGGTTAGCCGTAGCTGTTATGAAATGATTCCTTTCTCCTCTGTTTGCTGATAAAGGGAAAAAAAAACCCAACAAAAAAGTCAAAACACACCAGTGTGTGTGTGTGTGTGTGTGTGTGTGTGTGTGTGTGTGTTTTTTAACCCTCCTAAAGGTTGAGTCTTCTTGTTAATGGCATGGCATTGCACAGGAGTTGTGTGATAGGACGCGGAGCGTGCGTCTGATCTCCCGGCTGTAACACCGGCTGCGGTTAGCTTATTTAAAGGGCCTGTCTCCGTCTTAAAGCCCGTGCGCCGGCAGCCCCCTAATAGGGGGAAATGTCTTGGACAAGTGATTTGAAGATATTTTGCTTCATCCCTTTGGAGCTCTCTGCAGGTGATGCCGCAGAATGTCTCCGCCGTTTGATGTGGAACAACAGAGATTCGCTATTGAGTGATAGCTTCAAATAGCAGAAAGAGTGAGACCCTGCGTGCCGCTCCCCCTACTTGAGCTACATCAGAGAAAACTGACATCCATTATGGTAAAGAAAAGACAAGTGTTTGAAAAATTCAAGTACGCACGCCGCAGAAGTGTCAGAGATTTTTAACACAGTGCAATTTTTTTTTTTGTGTGTGTGTTCGTTCACTTTCTTTTTTCGTTAACAAGGTGGTTTTAAGCAGAGCAACTTTACACTCTCTCTGTGAACAGGCAGGAAAAGATACTCGAAGCCCATCCTGGCATTTTTTTTCCACTCTTTTTAAAAAAAAAAAGTCACCACAAGTCTCAGGCGTCCATCTGAACCAGAAGAGATTAAACTCCGGAGACCAGGAGCCTAAAAGCATTTCACTCTTTTTACCTCAACTTTTTGTCTCCGAGGCCTCTGTAATTATAACGCCCCTCTGATGTAAAGTTTTTTTTTTTTCTTACTCATAATAAGTTTAGTCTTGTCCTTAATTTGCTATTTACATCACCGGAAAAAAAAATAATATTTTTTTCTTCTTTGCGATGCTTCTTTAAGACTGAATCTGAAGGATAAGGACTTTTTTTAGTCGTATTTTTTCCATCCTGCCAACTTTGTTTTTTCAGAAGTGCTTTTTATATTTTTAAGAATTTTTTTATCAAATAAAATTCCTCACAAGATTCCACTTTTCATTACCTCCTTTAAAAAAAAAATATTGCAGACTTGTATTTCATAATGGAACTTTTGCAGACGTGTGATCTCGTGTACTTGTTCAAATATGCCACCGGGGAACAGCATACACAGTAAACCTGCGTCTGAGGCAGGTGTCGAGGCGTTTAACCACCAGTGTCGCAGACGCGACAGCTTTATTTATCAACCAGACTGACATACTGACATCATCATCATCACCATCATCATCATCGTCGTCACGACACACGCAGGTTTATGGGGCGAGTAAGTAAATAAAAAAAAAAAGTCTTCTTCTTCTGTAATGTGAAAGAGAAACTTTCAGAGATGAATAG